ACTCATTTAATCCTTATAGCAATTCGACCTAGCCAGGTGCCATGAAAGGATAAGTAACTTACCCAAGGTCACAGTGCTGGGAAGTGATGAAGCCAGGATTTTAACCTAGGAAGTCTGGCTCCATCACTAGTCTAGAGTGGGTGATTTTCCTTTAGAAGTTACATACATAGATATGGCTCATTTCATTTTGGAGTAATTCAGAGTGATGCATGAAGTGAAACCAGAGATGGAGACAGAGGTGAGGGCATGGAGAGATAGAGCAGCTGAGGACTCTAGACTCATGGAAAGAGAAAATCTGTGTGTTGGTAGCCAGGTGCTGGTGGCCAGGAGGCAGGCCTGCAGAAGGTGTCCTTTGGTTGTTTAAATGATTATATCTTCCTGACTGTTTCTGTATACATTCCCCTACACCCCCTAAGACCCCAGAAGGAATAGAAGCAAATATTGTTGAATAATGATGCACAGAGGCAATTGTAATCATTGTAATGAAAAGATGAATATAAAACTGATGTTCCCCCATGTAAACTATCACTGAATTCACAATAAAGACTTAAAAAAAATTTTTTTTTAAAGGAACGCTCCCCCAACTAGAGTGGAGAGTGAAGCATCCAGCTGATAAGAAGAGAGGGCATATGCACAAGAACACCCACACTTGCAGATAATACCCACTTAACCTGGCCTCAATGACTAGATGATCAGAGCTCAACCAGAAGAAGAAAGAAGAGGAAATAAATAGTAAACTGATACAATTTGATTAACTTGACCTACAACTCTGGGTGCAGTAGCTCAAAAGAGAGAACAAATCTTTACAGCAAGGATCATTCCCACCCCCCTCCCCCATACACAGAGTAGACAGGGATGGGCAACTTGGACATTGGCTACCCAAAATAAGGGGGGGGGATACAAAGTCAAGAAGTGACTGGCTTACAAGCTTTCAAGAAGGACCCTAGATCCAGAGGGCATGGAGGAAGGTGGAATTTCCACTGAGTAGTATCCAATCTGTCTAGGCGGGACTGATGAAATGAAATGCAGATAGGTCTCTTGTGAT